TTCACGGTCTAAACTAGCTTTGTCTAGACCTGCACTGTCTTGCGATATGAAGTTTACTGACACTTCCTAAACACTCGCTTCCCTAAAGTCATATCGCCTTTTTAGGGGACCGGATAACACCCATCCCAGTTCAGTTTCTATCGCGACGAGCTCCTCCGACTCCCCCCGTACCGTTCGACCCCTTTGCAATTCCCACAAGTAGTCCGCTCCTATTAACAGGTCGATTTCGAGCTCTTCCTTAGATTGACAGACGTCAGAAAACCAAAGATCACGCAAGTGCGGGAAATCGTTTTTGACAACCTCAACATGCTCGTTGCTTATGTGTGAGATTTCCGGCACGACATAAGCTTCGAGCGCCTGCACACGACCGCCACGAAGAGGCCTTATGTCAAAACGTACGACTTCTCGCAGCCCTGATTCTTTGCCTTTCTGGCCAAAAGTACTAATCGTGATCCATTCCTTTCTTTCTACGGGTAACTCGTATTTGAGCGCCGCCTTGGCGGTCACAAAAGATCTATGACTTCCAGAGTCAAACAAAACTCTAACCCTCCCTTGCGTCCCCCCCTTAATCAACGCTTGGGCTGTCTGGAGGGCTATCCTACATTCCGTACCCACAAGTTTAGCGCTGACGTTATTCCCGGGCCGATCGCTATTACCTCCCGTTGGTCTATCTTGATTCCCCCCCGAGGCCTGTTGCGGTTTGGCCACGCACAAACAAGAATTATGTTGTCCCTTACACAATTTACATTCTATTGTTACGTTACAGTCTCGGCTGCGATGGCCCTTTTCTATACAATTAAAACATCTACCGAATTTAAGTAAAAGTCTCTTACGTTCCTTGATGTCTTGCACCTTTTTGCAATCTTCTGGGGGGTGGCTTCCAAGGCAGAATGCACATCTCTTGTCCCCTCCTTTGTTAGTGAATAATGCACTCGCTGTCTGGGGTCCCTTTCTGCGGTCATTCGATCCACCTCGTTGGGCAGTTAAATTATGATCTTCCCGCAATTCAACCTCCGTCAACAGAGAATCCAGCAAGTCCTTGAGGGTCCACTCCAGGTACTGCTTTCCTCGGGTGATTGTTAAGCGTACTGAATCCGGAATTTAAGCACTCGTCAACGTCAGGAAGGACTCCCGTTAGAAATCCTCGATGGCCTGCTCTAACTTTCTTCTTGGACATTCTTTAATCCGGCTCGAAGGACCAGATGTTGCGGAATTCTTTTAACCCCGCTCCGCTGGTTCAAACAAATCAAGAGGACTGTATCTTTCGATGTAACAACACGATTTAATGCAATCCAACAATCTACTGCGGTGTACAACTCTCATATACTCAACGTTCGTAACACAACGATCAACGTAACTAAACGATCAACGATCAACGATCAACTAAAACTAAAACATTCTAAGTATACAGTGGTTTTTCTACTATCCCTGCGTAAGGCAGTATTTTTACATTAATCACATGTACAGTAAAAGTTCCCATTGTAATGTATCTAAATTAAACGTCTATTACAAAATCCCACGTTCTTTCACCTTATTTAGCCTAAGAAAATGCATGCAGTTACATCATTTTATATCGTAAATATACTCGGACTTTGTCTACATTATTGTGAAATCTAATGTCACGAAATCTAACTTCTTTGCGCTACAAATGTCAATTTCTAATTAATATTTAATCACAGAATAATCAAGTTAAGCATCACCTATTTCTTTCCCCGACAGAAATTATGAAAACTTACTTTTTCAAATTTTTTTGGAGTGGAATTCCAAAGGACTGCACCAAAGTTCAGGAAAAGAAAAAGAAAGTTGTTGTCCGTTTGTTCACGTCCTCGACAAAACGAAAAATTAGGCAGTTTCACGTTGTAGAGAAATGTACAAAAAAGCTTTGACTGGAATAAGACTCAGCCCCAAACAAGGAAGATGAGCAAAGTGAACGGCTAGCATATCACTGTCAGAACGATTGAGGATTACAGAAATTCGCCGAAAACCAAATTCTGTGCTTATTCCCTCCTCACAGATGTCCTTCCGCTGTAAAGTTTAAAATAATACCAAAATGGGCGAGCGTGAAGTTATCAAACGTCCTTTTAATTTCTAAGCCGGGGGCTTACTTTCCGGCAAATAAAATGAACTTTAAATCTTCTCTGATGGTTTAGAATATGCTATTTTCGAAACCGAGAATGATTTTATCAAAGGTGTGTAAATCGAACTGAAACTGTGTTTGGAACCTTGCATTTCCTGTTTTTATCTCACCTATTGTATGGAATATGTGTGAATGAAATCTTCATAATGAATAGGTATATATCAGAGAGCTACACAACGACCAAGGATACTATAGCTATTGACCGACAGTATACAGATCGGGCGTAGCCCGTGCCAGGCTCTCAGATAGTATAGTGGGGACGTATTAAAACGCGCAAAGCGAAAATAAGATGCGCGCGACTTGGGAACCGGGGGGTGGTCTCTTCCCACCCCCCGCGCGTTTTTCGCATTTCTTTTTACTGAACGACTTTTAACCTCTATCTTGGAGCCTTATTAAAAACAGGCTAGAACGGCGACAGCTGTGGTGTCAGCCATTACTAGTTTTTATTCATATTGGTGGAATTTGAAAAGGTACTAAACAGCCCCGACTAAAAAATGGTACCCATTTTTTTTGTTACGAAAGTCTTCTGTTAATTTAGGTTCGATTTATTACGACCAAGTACAATCCAGAGTATATCAAAAGGTGACATTAGATCCAAGTGTAACCCTAATTAATGATTATAAAATCACACGTATTGTAGCATCATGTTCCAAAAGGGTGAAATGTTCAAAGGAGTAACTGTTTTTAAAACTCTCACATGAGATGTTACGTCACGCAATGGTCAGCGACAGGCCTGGTGGCCTAAGTCTGCAGCCACCCCCCTCCCCAGGAAAATTGGCAGCCCAGTTAAAATCGCCTTTTGGCGATTCTTGTTTTATAAGTGTTTGCAGATGTTTTGCATATGTTTTATCTTAAGACTAAGAGAAAGTTTCAATAGTCGTTTTCAGGAAGGTTTTACAATCCATATTAAGAAAACAAGAATTCTAGGTATTCGTCATCCTCGGAGACCCAGGGGCAGATAGTGGAGGCGAGGGAAAGAAAACTTGTGTTTTTCTGGCACCAATCAGAAGCCAGAACGGCGGCGACGGTTTAGAACTGGTCTGGTAAGACATTTTCTCCAGGGGCTCTTCTCGCCGTTCTTTACTTTTCTTCGTGCCTTATTTTTCCGCCCGTTTAGACTTTCCCTCGCTCCCACTATCTGCCCCTGGGTCTCCGAGGATGGGTATTCGTTTGTTGACGACATCAGCCAGGCTCTATTTCCGCCGCTCTCTCGGTCGTCCCCGGGAAGAGAAGGAGCGCGGGCTCATTTACCGGACAGCGGCTAGTAATCGAGCCGAGATATGCTTTTGTATGTATGCACCGCATTTGCCTCCATTTCAAGTACGGCCCTCGAAATCGAAGCTCTTTCGTTCGCAGTCAACAGATTCAAGAAGAAAACAAAAGAACACTCAGAACCCAAATAGGGTGTGACCCCGGGAGAAATCCTGTTTCGTATAGAAAGCCACGTTTTTGCAAGCGAAGAGTATGAATGCAAGTGAAGGTAACATTCCCATGAATTGAAGCAATATGTTTCTCAGTCTGTGTTTTGGCTAAATTTGTATTCTGCCAGACTTTGTTGTATTTCATTTTTAATTGATCAAGTGGGGAGGAACGTTGCGTGACGACACTAAAGCAGACTAAATAAACTGCAACTGATGCAAATTATTTGAAATGTCTTGCCTCATTTACTCCCAGCACTTCACTTGCCACTGGAAACTGCTAGTAATATATGTCATGTGGCTAATGTTTAACAAAATGGCTGATGCTGAGTCACGCACGGACGAAACAATAGTGTCCCTTTAGGACCGCTTTAGACCTCCAGCACCAAATCGTCTTTCAGGTACTCTCCCTGTACTGAAGTGCTGCGCCCTAGTCTTCTTGAAGGCTGCGGGGTACTGAAATAAGGCCAACTTTATCTGAAGTTGTTTAGAGTTTCGTTGTAAGCTGTATACAAAAACGTCATTTCCTGAAATTTGTGTTGCCATTTCAGGTGAGGGGCTAATTTTTGGTGTTTTTCACTGTACTATTTTTGAAATGACGCCAAATATTTTTGAGATTTTTAGAACTTTTTCCAGATATGTAGAAAAAAAAAAAGGGAATTTCCAGAAACATATTTAGACGATTTTAGGTGATATTTGTATCTAGGGCTACAAGATCTCTAACGTTATCCATGCCAGTATCCCTTCGCAATGTCTTTATGTAGGCAGTTGTCGAACTAGTACTCCCTCTTGCAGCCCTTGCATTTTTCACCATTCGCAGACTTCTCGTGTAAGTTCCATCTAGGCTCTCAGCTTTTCTTCTTTTTTGGATATGTTCTGTTCTGAGTAACGGACGCCTGAGGAGGAGAAGCGAAGGGGCCGGGAACGATCTCGGACGTCTGAGATTCCATCCCCAAACAGGCAAAGGCCCCACCTTGCGAGGACAACATAGAAGTTATATATTTTTGAACTAAGCTGAAAACTGATTGCAAGAAAATAAACTTAACCTCCCGGCTTAACCTTAATAAAAACAAACTGGAAATAAGCGACTTGAAAATTTTGCCGCTAGTCGGGAAGAACTTCGAGGCTCCTGATGTGACGTTAAGAAAGTGACTTTAATTAGAGTCAAATGTTATTTAAAGCAAAAATTGTGCTGACAGGACCAAAAAGTCTTAATCAGCCCGTAACAACAGGATGGCTCAGTCGTCACAGAACTTTTGAGTCGTCACGCACGTTGCGTCACGACAAAATATTCTTGAAATGTGCGGTGCCCTGGGAACGAGCGTTGTTTGGCAGAAGGCACGAAGGCGCCATTTTTGACTCGTTTGATGAGTTTCACCATCGAAAGTGTGCTGTAAAACACTATGTTATAAACGAACTGGTAATGGGCAGAGCTTCACAGAAACATGCAAGGGGAAAGAATCCTCAAATCACTTCTAAACAGAGAGATAGATGGTCTTCATGAGGATACGAAGGTAAGTTGATCAAACCTAGCTGTTTGCTAAATTTAAGCTGCTGAGAAATTATGGTCGCTTAATAGAGGACACTTTGTAGCTCAGTTGGCGAAGATACTTACGATTTGTAAGGCTACTAACTTTCAAAAACGTTTCCTTGAATAAAAATTTAGTTCATTTCAAAGCGAGCGTCTTGTTAGACTCTAAATGTAGCTTCAATTGCAAGAATCGCGCTGATCTACATGAGCAGGTCATAGAATGAGAGTCACTTGAAAGCAAACCTCAACCTAATAAATTACACTTATTTTAGACGTCTTTTTTGCCAAAGCCTCTTATTTTTCTTAACTCCATATTTCAAATGGGGTAGCCTTCACCCTTGATATGTTTTTTTTTTCAAATATCGTTTGGTGGAACTTGCAGAATTATCTTGCTCCACTGCAATGTCCGCTAAAGAACAAAAATGGCTGCCAAGCAGGAGGCAAAGCTACAGAGGAAACTGTGTCAAAGTACGCCGTGTTTTGTACCAAGTTCCTAAGGTGTGCTATAGAAACCTTGAAAAATGTGAAAGCCAAGGGAAATGACCTTACTGAGGTCACAGATGCCTTGAAAGTAGGTAAGATGAAGCATGTGAACATCTTTAGTTGTTGTTTGGGAGTAAGGTCTTTTCTGAGTTCCTAAGATAAGCCTAAAATAATGCTTACTCTTAAAATGGGACCAGCTTCAAAACCTTACTAATGAAAATGAGTTTTATTTATAACACACACACACACTTAACACACATACTTTATTATTATTAATAATCTACATTTACATAAAGTCCATTTCCGCCCACAAATAGCAGGTGCTAGTCAAGGCAGGAGGAGATAATAGGTACAGCAGTCAGTAATAAATAACAAATAAATAGATGAATAAATAAATGAATAAATAACTAGATATATATAAATGAAGTAAAGCTTAAACATAAATTAAAAACATTTACAAAATCACCTACTTGAAACTCGAAAAATTAACTGCGACACTAAATTAAGATATGTATACTTTATAAATTAAACTCCGTATTTGCTCGATAGTTAGCTATTTTTTGAAGCAGAATGGGCGATTCAACATAACTGTCCTCGGCCTCTAATAACAAAAATAGCATGTCATTGATATGTTTTTTGAAAGCTCTCTTGGGGAGATGACGAAGTTCATCGCATATTGAGTTCCAAAGCTTAGCTCCGAACCTAGCAAAAGAACCATGGTTTTGATTCAGTCTCGATCGGTTGATATAAAAATTGCAGGAGGAGGAGAACCTGGTCTCGTGATTATGCTTTTCATTAGCATTAATGTTATTGGGAACAGTTAGACGAGACGTCGAACATTATTGAGGAAACTGTTTCAACGTATAACATATTTAAAGGAAGGATTTTTGAGGAGGTAAATAAAGGCACCGCATATGCTCTGGGTTCAGAAAAATACATCAACCGAAGGACACGTTTTTGTAGCACGAGGATTTTTTGTAAATGGGATTTAGCAGCTTGACCCCAAGCAGCCAAGCCATAGGATAGGTAGGGTAGTATCAAAGAGTGATAAATACTTAATAGTGTGGTAAAAGGGACGAGGTGCCGAAGACAGGCAATAACTCCAATAATTCTACTTATTTTTAGTGCTACATTGTCAATGTGGTATTTCCAGCTCAAATGACTATCCAGTAAGACACCCAGATATTTTACATGATCCTTACACTCAAGGGAAGTAAGAATGTGATTACTATTATCAAACATTAGAATATTGACCGAATGGTCCATCTTACGTTGGTGAGGACGAAAGTTAACAAAGTTTGATTTTTTAGCGTTTAATGTTAGCTTATTTGCATTGAGCCAATCCTAGACTCTGACCAGTTCTTTATCGACCATTTTTTCAAGAGAATTAAGATTTTTGTCGGCATTCAACAACTTTGTGTCATCTGCAAAAAGGTAAAACGAAAATTTCACTGAAGAATAAAACTTTACAACCTACTTATGGTATGGGACTCCCAGGTACATACAACACATTTCACAGTGGAAAGAAATAGCATTTTCAACATGGTGTGAGCAGGGCACAACAAAGTGCTATCTGATAATCCAGAGCCAGTATTGAGTAAGGCTTAAACATGGGTCAAATATAAGTTGTCCGATAAGCACACCACATTTGCTTTAAGTGTGAGATTAATAGAGGGCTATAAAGTTACATGTAACTTGCAAATTGTTTTGTTCATATTTCAGTGGGGACAGTTCTCAACAACACTTTATCACTCCATCATGGAAACTACCTGAAGTTTATTCCTTCAGTAGATCAGCTTGCTAAAACACTTTACCTTATTGTTGCTCAGCTCATTGCCAAGGCACAGTTTGAAAGGGCTCTCGATCATGCTAATGACCTATATAAATTCATCCAGATTCTTAAGGCATGGAAGAGCTATGACAGTGAAAAGATGGACAAGGAAATTGGATCACTTTGTTTACGTTCATCTGATTTGTTATTTCAAGGAGCTGGGAAGCTTGAGGAGGCAAAAGTACCTCCAGCGGAACGACCATCACACTTGTGTGTTGTGTTAGACTGGAGAAAGCTCTCATTGCTTTTTCAAGCAGAAGCAAATGTAAATTCTTCACTAAAATCCTTAGTGGATAGAACTCTGAAATATGGGACAAAATTTCAAGTGGATTGTGGGCCCAAGAATGTTGATTTTAAAACCTTAGCAAGCTTCTTTGAAACCATTTTTAGCGTGCTCATGAACAAGCAAGAACAACTGATTGCAAATGGACGAGAATTTACAGTTCTCTTGGCTGAACTTGGAGTTCATCATGACAGAATTTGTAATAAGGCTGGAAACCCAACAGATGCTTTGGCTATGTTTGATAACCTGTTGAAATTGCGGGAAATGAAAACCATTGCAAAAATGGGCATTTTAAACTACAAATACCTTCGCAAGTTTGTTGTTGTGTGTGTTTAGTCTTCAAAGCAGCTATTTTGTTGAACTCTACTATAAAATCTCAAACTCAAGGATCTCTTCAGCAGATCTTATTCGAAAGTAACCGGCTAATCTCCCAGATCCTGAGGTGTAGCACATTACCTTCACCAATGTTAAAATTACTTTCAGACTCCCTGGAGTACTTCAGAATTAATTTGCAAAATGAAAGTAGCAAAAAGAGTAAGGAAAAACCACCCACTCTCTCACTGAAGACTCTCCAAGGAACAGTACAAGTGCTGCAGTCTTACATCTCAGTCTTGTCTTTGTATTGTGACCAGCTTACATATGTATCGTGGCACAGCTGAAACAACAGGTTCTAAAGACCACAGAACGGCAACTGACAATGTTTTAATAGTTTTGTTGTTCCTTCATATCAAGATCAGTAGAAGACTGAAAAAGATGCAAAACGTACAATCAGCCGGATTCAAGGTCAGTATTGTCACAAATTACTGAACTACAGTGAGGTTTAAGGAAAGGATATACTACTGTATATGTTGTGTTCAGTTTTATCCTTGGTTTTATATTTTCTTTTGGCAAACGTTAATGGATGATAACGAGTGAAAAACAAAGGGAAATCAAATTTAAACCAAGGATAAAATTGAACCACAACATATACGTTGTAGTTTAATTTACAACATTGATTTCGGATTTTCGGCGGAAGCGGTTGCTGGGATAGAGACGTCTACTATGCAAAAAGGGTGCCAGTTCATGGGAATGTCGCAACACTTTTGTCCATCATTGTCTGAATGCAAAATTGTGTTACTGCACACATGTTGAGCATTGTGTGACAATGATATTAACTGAAATTAAAGCGGAGTAATGTTTATGTAATTGGTGGTGGGAGTGACATTGACTTAATTACGTCCAAATTATAGGTCTAATACGAGTTACCTGATGACGTGATTGTCAGAATTGACGGAGATATGCTTTTTAAGGGAAAGTAAACACTAAAACTCGCGCATATGTACGATTTTTCGTAAAATTCAAGGGTATGTGTACTAAAAGATTTAGATGAAGTGAATATTTCAGGTTCTTCACTTTATCGGATTGTACCAGCAGAAAAAACTAACGGGCAGAGTAAAGATCGATCAGCAGAAAGAAAGTCACTGGGCGGCCACGGAAATTGATATTCAGTGTTTTATCTTTGGAATTGGCTGCTCTAAAATATATAAGACGTTTTAAAATTGCTAGAAAAGGACAGTGGTGAGAACTACCCAAAAACAGTCCTGCAGCTATACAGGGGTACTTAAACTCCCGCGTTGAAGTCACCGGAAGTGAGTTTATTCATTCGTTGCTCTAGCACCTCCGGCTGTAGGGAATCTTAAAGTTTCTCAACCGATTTATGCGCCCTGATACGGTCACTATGAATTCTGCAAGAAATACGTAAATCTGATTCCGCTTGGCTGATTTAGCGTTAAAAGTGGCGGAGTCGGTTTAGTTAGATCTTGTTAGATGGCCGATTCAGCAAGATAAATACATGAAGTCAGATCTAATAAGATATAAACGGAAGAAAGGGGGAAAAGCTGGACTTTTAAGCTAGCAAGGTAGGAAAATTAAGGTTTTTTATCGCACTTTGAAGTTAACAAATAACCCTTTGCAATTTGCATCTGAGTAGGCATAAGCTGGATGATCGATTTCTCCTATTACAATCATAAATACTTACTAATTACCTCTTTAAATGCTTACCAGCCTTATTCTTTGAGGTGAATGTAGCATTGGACACCGAATAACGGTGCTACTTTACGCCAAGAAATTCTGGGTATTAACTTCCGTTCTTGTGTAGATTCAAGTACTTAGTAGGATTCCTCAAGTTATATTTGCATAAAGCATTGACAAAGTTAAGGTGTGGGATTCAGGTCGTTTCATTTCAAACTTGCAGTTTGAGTTGTTTCTATACAAAGACAAGTCGCTTCGCAAAGACGAAGGCCCACCAGGCCGTGCACAGCAATGCAGAACTTGCCTGTACTTGTCTGCCATATCGTTTGTAAAAGTTTTATCGTCTACTACTTCCACGACGGTTGAAGTTGGTTGATTCCTAACACATTACTTATTTTACATCTAATACGTGTAGATTCAGTCATAAACAATGGCTTTGGCTGCCTCGTTTTGTTCTTAAATCTTTAATCGTTATTTATTCACGGTTATTGTATACAGTCAAATAAATGTGTGTGCATTAGTCCGAATAAATATAAACCTTTGTCTAGTTTTAAAAGCTTTCATTGGTCAACTTTCAGGTAACTGGCTGTTATTCAATAATATTGAATAACAGCCAGTTGATCTATTATATCAAGCATTTATTCCATTGTTGCGGATCATACTTCTATGCATGGTGATCCATTTGAAAGAAAAATAAAAGAAATTAAAAGTTAATCGGTTCCCCAATCCGCCATGCGTAAAGATCAATTTTCTTAACTCATATCCAAGTTGAGTTTTTTAGCTGCAGTTACTTTGTTATCAATTGTTAATTATATAAAAGCCTAAAGCCTGTAACGCGACACCAGCTTTTATATTTTTTTCCCATTTGATATTCGTAGAATGATTAGGAGGCTTCATTGGTACCCTTCTGGTTTTGATACACATTTCGTATATCAGGTTCGCGGAAACGGCAGCTTAGTTTCCACCTGGGATACGCCTATGTAGACTTCTTTGCACAGTGAGCTGATTTGCAAAAATGCATGCAAAACATATGGCACTCTAAATACTCACGGAATCAATGAACGACGTTGTGATTTGTATAATAATTCTTTAGCTGCGGACATGAAATTTAGTAACCATGATACAGAAATTACGGCTCTTAAACAATAGCTATGTCTATTTTCAATTTTTTTTTCTATTACAACGTCCATAGTTTTGCAGTAATCAAATGCTTTATTGTTTACATCATTCGCTTTGCAATTCCGACAAAAGTGTGTAGCACTTCCGGTTTAGATAAGGTAAACCCAAACGCTAAAATTCTCTATTTCCATAAATGCAATCTGCAGTATTGCAATAATACAGCTTTATAAATCTTTGTAAATAAGAAAAAAATGAACAAATTTTTGAATTTAAGAGTTACTGGAAAGCAAAGAAATTCAACTTCCGGGGATTCATCATTTCACTTCCGGTCAAGATTGCTGCCGTTTAAATAAAATCCCCATAACTCGCGTCAGCACCAAAATCCGCGATGGCTCCATATCAGAGATTAATCAGTGTAGAATATCGAAGAGGCAACATTTTTACCAAAAGTGATGCTTTTAACCCAAAAGCGCACAATTCGACAAAAATTCTTCATATATCCGCCCCACTACAACGATTTACTCTTGTTGTACTTTTGGTATGGTACCACGAGGAGGCAGCGTGGCTGATTAGTCAGCTCGTCGGACTCGCAATCCCGCGATTTCAGCTCTGACCACAACCTGGGTGTGTTTCTCGGAAACTGGCTATTTCCAACTCAGTTTAAAGAAGCAAACTCTTATGTTCTCCAACAGATCTGAGTATTACTGTGTTGCAATAGTTTCATGTACAGTGCTGCAAAAGCTATTGATAACTAATTCATGCATTCGTTAATTTAAATCAGAGAGGCTTAAAATATAATTTAAACAAGAATCGCCGAGAGGCGATTTTAAACTGGGCTACCATAAAACCTTGTCGGCAACCATTGCATGCGACAGAATCTCATGTGAGACTGAAACATAAACTCATTCAGAACATTGTACCCTTTTGAAAGACTTTCGTAACCCAAAAAAAGAGTACCATTTTTAAGTGGGGGCTGTACAATAACTTTTAAATTCCACCATTATGAATAAAAATAAACAAGTTAGCCATTTTTTCTAAGCAGGAAACAATTTGCATTATTTCCACGCACCCCTCCCAGGCAACGAACCTTGCCTAGTCCCTAGGCCTCATTATTATGCGAGGCCGATGCGTTTCAGGTCACGTGGTCCGAGAAAGTTTTTAAGGCCTAGACAAACTCGGAGAAGTGAGACATTTTGGGCGCTTTCCATTTTAGTCAAAATTTCCGGAATTTCCGGTTCGGCGGTAAATGGAACACGTTTCGTCGGTTCCTCCCACTGGAAAATTCCCAGAAAAAGTGGAAAATCTAAAAAGGTGGTCCCGATTTCCCGGTTGGAATTTCCGAACGGAATGTCGTGTTCCATTTACGTTTCTCGTAGTTTGTACCAGTTCCAGGTCCACGGTCGGGCACCGCCACGTACCGGGGTTTACGACCAAATGGAACAACTTTTTACCAATCGGAAATTCCACTTTTGCTCCCACCGGAATTTCCGGGGTTTTTTCGTAAATGGAAAGCGCCCTTTGTCTCACTTGGGGCGGAGCTTTTGGAAGCGGGCGAGCTGTCAATAACTTTTCCGCGCTGATGAAAGATGTCCAGCAGCCTTGGAGAGTACAGAGGAACGAGCATTTTTATTCTATGCACGTTTTCATTGTTGAAAGTCGTTTGGCATTTTTTTTTTCATTTATCTCATTAAACTAATTTGAACTTTATTTCATCTCAAAAACTATTTGTAGGCTAAGCAAAACAGCGTCGCCAAAAAATTATTTGATCAAGAATCGGAAGGCAAGCTAAAGAAATAAGTTTATATTTATTCTTGGATATGACAAGCTACCGTAAAATTCCGAAAATAAGCCCCGGGGCTTATATTTTTCAAAGGCGCTTTTTGAGGGGCTTATTTTTGGAGGGGCTTATATTCGGAGGGGCTTATCTACGGAGGGAAATTTGCGTTTCGAAATCGATTGGGCTAGCCTTACAGTTGGAAGAAAATTTACCGTTTTTGCTTTGTTTTACTTTGTATTTGAGGGCAATTTTCCACGTACAAGCCCCCGGGGGCTTATATTTGGAGGGGCGATTTAACGGAGGGTTTTTTGCGTTAGCGGTTTTGGGGGCTTATATTTCGAGGGGCTTATACATGGAGGGGCTTATTTTCGGAATTTTACGGTATCTTTCGTTTCTCTATTTTGGCTTGCTCCTATAGATTTCTCGTTATCATTTCACTTCGAAATACTTTATGTAATTTAATTTTTGGATTTGGAAGCCTATCAAACTAATCGGACAGGCTGTTGAATTTGGTCTCTAAATTTGGTAGAATGTCAACAAACTGCTGTTTCAAATCTTTTTATCAATAAAGACTATCATTTTAATGTTCATTTGAAGATGGACTAAAAGGGAAATTACTTGCACGTTATACAGTAGTATTCTTTCCGATTCAAAGTAATATTTTTATTCTTTTATGACACGAACTAGGTTAGTTACTTTTGTAATAGTGTCAATAGTGCCGATCTTTAGCGAAGGATCTTCACGCGCAAAGTTATTTATAGATTATTTCAGTTGACCGTGTGAACTTTTCAAAAATGCTCACGCATGCGCACTCCGAGATTGTCTAGGTGTCTCCTAGCCGTTCGTCTCGGATACGTCACCGAAATGCATTGACCGAGAGGGCCTGAAGAGACGCCGTACAGGGACTAGGCAACAACGAACCTTGAAACAGAGTAACACACAAAACGGATCGAAATCCACAAATCACAAACCATGACCTTTTGAACCCGTGGAGTAAAGTTTTGTTACCTAAGAGGTCCGTTAAGATGATTGACGGCAGCGAAAAACGCAATCGTCGGTTGGCTTCTGAACTTCAGAATTCGCATGTTTGTGAAAAGTGCGATCCTAATTTGCGGTCCACAGTCTACAAGAAAACGCACGATTTTTTCCACAAGATGAAAAATATTCAGTTTTAAGATTTTCCTCATGGTATTTTTCTCTAACTTAAAGGAATAAAATCCTTTGCATTTTGAGACCTAAAAAAGTTTAAAGATTTCTCGCTCGCATGTTGCGTTCACCAGCACGCACTTCAAACAATGTAAATAGATGAAACGATCGATAACACATTTTTTACCTGATACCGATGTGAGGTAAAAATTCCCTCCAGTTCTGTTTGTCTCACCCAAGACTAACTTTTCTTCATGGAAGATAACTATGCCGCTTTATAATTCGTCCGAAGTTTTTGTGCCAGCTAAACAATATGGAAACACTATTCACAGTGACTCCTTGGATATTAAAAAGACTGAACGTGACGCACTATTATGCCTTTGTTTACTTCTGATCACATCTTCAAGCGAAGTCTCTCTTTTCCAGCGATTCATCTCAATACACAATAATTGACCCTTATATTAGTTAAAACCCTATGGTTCATTTAAATTAATGCTGTTTTTGCCCCTCACATTGACTGTGTTCGTTCGTATTCAAAACACCTTTACGAAAATAAAGGTCGTATAAGTCATGTGTGTTATTTTTCGAGATAAATGGATTATACGCTTTTTTAAGTTTCCATTTTGCGGTGACTTCAGTTTACATCTCCATAAAATGGTAAAAAAAATATCAAGAAACATCACGAGAGCTGAAAACTTTCAAAGGCATGTTTCTGAAACTCGCTAATGCTGACATCAATATAACGTGCTTGCTGAATGGGCGAAAACACAGAATTGTGATCACAAGATCATGTACAAATTTAATGATAAAATCTTAGCAAGATACAGATACAAACAAAAGCAAACCCCCTTGTAGGCTGGGCTACACTACACTGGGCTACACTTGTATGCTCTACACAGTCACCAAACCTTGTCAGTAATAGCTCCTATTTTCCTCAAGTCGCTCTCTGTGAAGCTCCCGTATGGGATGTCCCGGTGAAGCTTTAAACTTGTGTGCGAAATTCTCAGAGTCCCTATTTTTGTCCGTGTCTTCTTTATCCTCAGTATCCGAAATTTAGACCTCCAAAGTGGCGTGTGTTGCATTAAATAGAAGGAAATATTTAAAGGAAAAGCCAGTCTTCTAACATGGCAAAGTTGTCGCGTCCCTCGCTCATGGACGTGCGTAACATCAGGATTCATCTGCCATTCATCGGCAACTGAGTTGTTCGCTTCACTGACTACGAAGGCTTAGAATCAAGTCTTCAGCCATAGTGTCGTCAATTGGTGAAATACTTTACTCATAAATTGTGCTTCTTAATTGCTCATGTACTACATCGATCGATAATTCTCTCTTTGAGTTCACGAAGAGGCCACGGCGTTCCAAACCTGACGTTCACCGTCATCTTTTAGTGTGAACCTACCGCGAACGGCGTGTCGGTTTGAATGCAACGCGAGCATTGCTCTGAGTTTCCCAGCGCCAACATCATCCAACTGACTTAAACTCGAACAATAAAAAAATTATAGAGTGACTCCCATGATCGAATCGCTTCGAACAACGCAGTAGCCTTCTTGAGGTTCGCAACGCCTTGTGGGTTTTTCAGGGGGAGCGGAGACGAGGTACAAAAAGTATCCGTGCAAGGGTTCGTGCAAGAGAAAATCCTATGAAACCATTTGTGAGAACATCGTTTCTCGGTACCAGACCCTCGTGTCTTGCCTCCCCCGGATGACGGTTTTTCGACACAGACGACCGAAAACCGAATTTATGACTGGGCTTGCCGGGCAGCCCAGTAAAAAAAAACATTGCTTACTTTAAAGTATTCATACAGTGGGAGTAAGTAGTCTTGAAAGAAGTTTGTCTCTCAATCCGGGGCATGATGACATAAAATCAGTCTGAATTCTTATAAAATGGCCAGTTGGGCTCATTAGATGTGATAATACAGTTTTTTTATAACAGTAGTGGAAACGGGAAAAAAACATAAGTAAAAACCATATGTGTTTAGTTACAGAAGAATAGCTTGGATAATATTAATAGTAAAAAGTGAGTTTCATCTTCAATTTTTCACAGTTACAGACAGGACTCAGCATTACATCACGGAGGATCTGCATTTTCCTCCACCGCTGAGCCATGGCTGCATCTTCTGGCCAACTCCAAAATGTGAAAGACACATGGAACGTCAACAGTCCGACTTCTCACGAGGTTTTTTGTTTTCACTTGTTTTATCCGTCTAAAGCCGTGACTGTCGACAACAATCTTTAATAGTAAGGGGCAGATTGATGGGGTACAATACAAGACAATAGCAACAATTATATGGAGTATCTTTCTTCGGAGAATTTATTGATCATTGAAGGTTTCCTGGATTGAAACAAGAAACTCAGTGTTACAAGCTTTTTACGCACAGACTGGGTTTGTTTGTTTGTTTTCAAACCCATAACTGTTTGATTATTTTTTTACTTCCGATGTGAATTAAATAAAGGAAGCATGTATCATATCTTTCCTTGTTATTCTTCACTTGATTTGTGACCATTCATTTTCAGTAAAATTAGTGAGTAAATTTGTGGCAAATTTTTATCCCCAAAAAATTCAGGCCTAAAGGGTTATAGAAATAACCTATAGCTTTGACTGGACCTTTACTGTAGCAAAATATGGCTCGGGATGTTTGCGCTTGTCGTTAATTTAAGCCAAAGAACAATTCTGCTATTGGCTTCGTTTTGGGTAGTGAAAGGTTGACAAGACAAGTAGACGTTGTTTCCGAAACGGATTGCCACAGGAATTTAAAAGCAAAATAATTATGTTCTAAGTTCTGCCTTTTGAAACGAGGAGTTAAAATAGGAAATTAACATGTTTTAATTTTGCGTAGTACCTGTTACTCTCTGTTTGTTTCTGAAGACAATTTCAAGCCTTTTGAAGTACAACTCGAAACTTAAAACTCACCGAGGTGGCTTTTTATGGGTCCCCTCACAGTTAACAAAACAAAACTCTCCAGCATTTTCAAGTCGCTTGTCGTTCTCATTACTTTCATTCTTTCCTTCAGACTAGCTTTTCTAAAAGCGGAGATGAAACCATACCACAGAAAGCAACTGGACAGAGTGCGTTATCTGCTACCAGCAGAACCTTGAACGTTACTCTTCTTGGTGATGAGTGGGGTTCATCTGCTGGGGGGTTGTCGACCATAAACAGAGAGCTTGCTATTCACCTTTCACAGCAGCCAGGAGTAATTGTATCTCTATTGTGCCCAGAAAAAGCTTGCAGTAGTGAAGAAATAAGAGAAGCTGATGCCTATGGAATCACCATTGTTGAGGCGAAAGAACGTGCAGCATATGATCGTCTTGATTGGTTAAGCATTCCACCCCAGGACCACTTGATGGACAGCGTTGTTGGCCATGGTGTTAAACTTGGTCGGCAAGTACAGTTCATCAGAGAATCTGCTCGATTTCCAAATTGCAAGTGGGTACAAGTGGTTCACACTGCTCCAGAGGACCTGAGCAGATACAAATGCTACAGTGACCCCATTTCAAAAGGTGAAACAAAACAAGAATCAGAAGTTGAACTTTGCAAACTTGCTGATCTTGTTGTACCCGTGGGGCCCAGACTGAAAGAAGCATACTCTTCATATTTACAGCGATGTAAGACAGATCAAGACGTTTTGTCCATTACTCCAGGTCTTTTTCAAAGGGAGTTTGGGGATTTAGTAGCAAAACAAGATCCTAATAAGGATGGCGAATTTAAAGTGTTGTTATTTGGTCGTGGGGATGATGAGGACTTTGAACTCAAAGGATACAACATTGCTGCCAAGGTATTTACTGATCAACGGCTAAGAAACAAACCTTACCATCTAATCTTTGTGAGAGCACCTGAAGGAAAACAAGAAGAAGTCAGGGGAAAACTTCTTCAACGTGGTATTGCCGAAGCGCAGTTAACTGTTAGAAAATTTATACAAAGCAGAGAGAAACTGAAAGATTTGCTGTGTGAAGCTGACCTTGCCATTATGCCATCAAAATCAGAGGGACTTGGTCTTGTCGCACTCGAGGCCTTGTCTGCAGGTTTACCCATTCTTGTTGCTAGTAAGTCGGGAATTGCCAAAGCATTAGAGAATGTTCCTCATGGTCATACATGCATCGTTTATTCAGATGATCCTGCAAAATGGGCAAAAACAATTGAAGGTGTTCGTGTTAGGCACCGAATGCGACTCGAAGAGGTTAAAACAGTAAAATCAAGTTATGGAGAAATGCACAGTTGGAAGGAACAATGCAAAGCCCTTGTGGAGAGAATGTGGAAAATGGTCTATGGTAAGAGTTGTTGCTTTGAAACTCATGCATAAAACAATGAATATGATTCATACTATTTTGTAAATGTTAGTTTGACTTTTGCCCGTGTGTTCCGAACATTATTGCGATTGGCCACTTAGGTACAATCTATTTCAGATGTTCATGGTTTTCTTGTCTCTTGTCTTTTCTTGTCTTTTATTTTAGTAGTGTTGATGTAAGTTAGTATTTCATAGAGCCATAAACTGTAAATTTAAACCGTTATGTCTGTTACAGGTCAAATTTGTTCTCAGGTTAAATATTTTTAACCTAGGTTGATTCTTGATTTCCTTTGTCTACTAGGGCTCTTGAGAGTCAACCTACAATCGCCGACAAAATGAGTTGAGACACTTCCCCCAAAACTGGGCTTTTTTACGTTTTATTAAATTCAAAAGGAGGAAATATAGCTTTCCTCCCCCATCCCCTCCGTGCAATGTTGTGCCCTTGTTCTAGCTGCCAATAGAAAACAACAAACACCCCAACTTTGAATGGAGGGACTTGGGAGGGGTGCGGATTCTTTTGTTCTCCGAAGTTACCCTATTTAAGTACCATGTCTCAACACTTTTGTCGCCGATTGTAGGTTAAATCAAAATTAACCTGGGATCGAATTTGACCTGTAACATGTACGTAAATGTCCAATCATGAAAAGTATCGCTGAAGTGATTCAAATTAGGCACTCCAAATTGTCAGGGCAATGATATGCCGGCGGCAATCCAAAAGCACTTGCTATATTCCAGAACATCTAGTGAATCTTTTGAAGTTAATAGGATTCTTTAAAACAACTCTATTAACTTTGTCTTCAGCAGAAAGAGGCTTTCACCTTTTTTTCCTACAATGAAAGTGTTTTTATAACCAACCAACAGGGTCTTCCAAAAATGGCAACAAGCCCAGAAATGAAGAGCCACTTGTTGAAGAAACTTCCCGTGCTGAAAAGAGAGCTTATTTTGCAGCAGGAAGTCAAACTAAAAGTAGCTGTAAGCATATTTCAGGTATGGACAAACATTATTTGCTTTCTTTTGCTTCTGCCCTTTGGTATGAGCAAAGGGTGGGGTGAGAGGCCCACTGAAAAGTGTTTACCGTTTAATTTGTGGCAGGGAAAAACCACACTGCCCACTGAACTGGGCTGAACCGAACAACTTTATTTAGACGGGTCACATCTTCTAAACTGGCTACACGTAGCTTAATAACCGGGGAAACCTGTGCTAACCTAGATACTGACGTCTTGTAATGTTACGGTAAATCCTCTATTCTTGGTTTTCACCCATGTGACCTGCCACTTGACAACGGTTGCTACCCGCCATGTTGGTTTCCCTCAAACGTAATCAAAACCAGCTCGAAGAGGTGTAGATATGGTTGTTTGCATTGTTGTTGTCCATCATTTGTAAAGAAAAAACCAAGGCGAGGAATTCGAAGAAACTACTACAGAGAAGAGAAATCTCTGGATTTCGGCAGTAAGTCGAGACGATGACCAGGAGACATGGTCATGGCGGATAAGGGTTTAATCGTCGTAGACAGAGTTGATACAAAGTCCTTTCGATACAAGTTTATTCAGTTGAGTTGTAAATAGTTTCACGAACATGGCGTAAATAACAAGGAATATTCACCCAAAAGTGTTTTCCTTGCACACGCGCATACTTTACTTGTCATACTCGAGGTGACCGAAATGTTTGTGCAATTTCAATGCTTGAGTTCGTCTCACATTTGCATCCAGTTGAGAAAAAAAAAAACAGAGGGAAAGCAAGTGTTCAAATCCATGTAGAGAGGACTATGGGGTTGCTGTAGCACAGGCATGCCATTTTAGAGGGAACAATTCCATCAGATTTTCTTGATTCAAACCCAAATGGATCCCCTTGTACACAGATCCTGATGATCGTATGGTGAGGGTTTGCTCTGCACTTGTCAATTTATTCCCACCAAATACTTGTCCTTTTTCACTTGCTTTTGACTAGATCTGTTGTAATATATAGATTTAGCCAGGGCTAAAAGCGAAGCTCCCATTAATAAATTTATAATTTAAATCAAACAATAAACTTGTAATCCACAAATCAGTTAACTTTAAGGGAAAGCTAAGGCTAAGTGATTTTAGAGTGAAATAAAAAATCTTACATCGAATTGATAGCCGTATATATACACCCAAAAAATAGCAATCATCTTCGATCACATTTTAGAGCCATAGTGGCTCTTGATCACAGTAGATTAGGCATGGAAAACGAATTTTTGGAAAACAAATCAGGCCGAATTTTTTGCTTTCGACAAGTTTACTTAACAAAAACTTGCCAACAACTCTGGGAGCGTGTAAACCAACATTTCATACTTTTTATACATCACATCTGAAACAGTGATATGAGGCGTTGTTTTTATCATATAGACCTCAGACAAAATGCAGTATTTCACAACTTTTCAAGACAAATTGCACTCATTCAATATTCAGAACCGTACGAAGCACTCGTGGGCTTTTAGCAAAACCGTTCAAAAAATTTCCAAAATTAATACGGCCAACTGCTTCTCACTTTTGACAAGCGCCAAATTTTCAGTGAACATTAAACGAGTTACGCTTCAACATAATTAAGAATTTATTGTGTTTATTTTTTCTATTAAATGGTTTTTTATAACGATGTGCAATCTTAAAAAGCGTTTAATACGAGCAGCATTTTGAGTACTCCTGCAAGCGTTGTTTATGAACGACTGAAAACAAACTGCAAAGCGATTAAAATTGTAAGAGACTACTAACAATCAATAAAAGAAATGTAATTCGGTGAAACATTTACAGAGACAACAATTTTCATTCACGAAGACAAGTATTAAAGCGTCTCTAAAAACTGAGTCTTTAAGCTTAAGCTTAAAGCTTTTAGCCGGCTTCCTGGTGTTTACTGTTTCCAAAGATGAACTCGAGGCAAGAAGACCGCTCAAAGCTTTCTTTCTACAGCCAAAATTATAACTAAATACTCTTCGGAAAGTTTTTCGTTCTATATGCGGAGAGAAAATATCGACTAAAGGCTTTTTAAAGTTCTGTAAGCTTATATATACTAGATTATATCATTGTCTCAGATCTTAACACAAACGTGCATAAATTAGCCTGATAAACTGCGCTCGACTTCATGAAATTAGATATAAAAAAACAAACATACACTGTATACAATAATTACTTAGGCTTACCATTCGAGATGCAGCTCTTGAAAGCTATAAAGTAAGGCCAGAATCGCTTGAGGGACTTTTCAACCCGCATCCAGCAAGGTAAAAACGAAAGCGATGCATCCGAAATCGGATTTCCAACTTTGGCAACCGGCGCATTTCCCGACCAAAAATTAAATAAACAAACCAGCCATGAATCAAAGAAGACTGTTGATAGCAGATGTATTTCATTTTAAGCATCCAGTGGAAAAAGACAGTAAAAAACATCACAAGTTGACAAAATACTCTGTCAGCTTCAGCTGTCAAACTGAAAGTAAACAAGGTTCAAGATGCTGTATAAATTTTCTGCATGAACTCACCTGTCAAATTTTGACCAATCAGAGCATAAAAATTGGACGGTCGTAGAGCGTGATCAACGCGTGCCTATGGTGAGAAAAGTGAAAAGCCTCTGTCTTCCCTGCTTGTATTTTTAAATGACTGGCTGAATTTTCGAGTCCGAGATCAGTTTGAAATCAAAATAGGGAGTTTAAGATACGGAGACTACGGACTACGAACTACGGCTGGACGAGCGTTGTCGTTTGTTTGTAGCACTGGGTTGAGTCGTGCAAATATAGAACGTTAAGATTTCACTATAGACGGTAGACTACGAGAGAAGAGGCGGAGAAGGAAACAACACGCAAAGATTTTCTTGTTTTCATCACAGTTCACAAAAATGCAAGTCAGTTTTGCATGTGATCTTATCTTTAGAACAATGAACAAATTCTCCCATACTTGAAGGAAGCAATTACGTACAAGTCGATTCGCGTACAAGTTGATTCGCGCTCGGGTGAAATTGATAAACAAAGTTTTGGTTGCACAGGTTTTATTTTTTTTCGCCCATGAATACTTATGTAAACTATTAAAGAAATTAGACAGAAATAGTAATAGCTCATTTATTAGATTTAGAAGATGGATTTCTCCGAGCACTGATCTGATGTAGTTTGAAGTATTGAAATGCCGAGTTTCGATTGTCTCGAAGATGTTTACATCATTTTCATTCAGCAAATGCGACTACAAAAACTCGCATAAACAAAGGTCACACAAGTAGAAAGACACACTAATCAGTTCGAACAAACATTGAAACTTTTCAAGTGCGAAGAGAAAGTAAATTACCTGCATGATTTCTCTTCTCCTCGGCCATCAATCTGAATTCTGCGTATAAAAAAGCTAAGCTCCTTTAAATATGAGCTTAGCTCGATAAAAATGTAGTCACAACGGTGGATTAAAAGCGTAAATCTGAGCAGAAATTAGGCACAACTTACAAAATTCGCTTCCCCCTCGCTTAAAGCAGGTGAATTGAAAACTTTCTTACGAAAAGACGAGATTCTTGAATTACCGGGACGGCAAAATACGAGCAAAATGTTCTCCGTAGTCCCGACAACGCGAAACAGCTCAACAACTCACCGTAGCCGCAGGACTACGCGGGAAAAATAAACAGTCACGTGGTCTTGATCATGCGCAGTAGCATGTTTAAACGTAGTCGTAGTCCGTAGTCGCGGTATCTTAAACTCCCTAATGTTAATGGCGCGGGGCCATAGTGACACTAACACAACACTTTCTGTCATCATGTCATTATTTTGCTGCCGTTCTCTTTGCCTTTGCAGGGACTTTAAGATCCAACGACGCGACGGCGACAAGAACGTCGCTTAAAAAGTGAATTTGCGTTCTTTCAGTCTTTATAGCGATTATTCCTACCCACTTACTTTGTCAACTGTAGGCGAACCCTCCTGAAGCTGAATTTCAAGGGACCAAAGTCAAGCTCAGAAAGAGAAATAAAATTTCGTCGTTGCTTGTTTACGTCCTCCATAAAACGCGAAATGAGGCATTTTCACGTCGTAGTCGTGCAAAAATGGGAAAGAAATGTACAAAAAAGTGTGATGCACGTGCGAAGTTGTTGTTTTGCTAATTAAACCAATTGTTTTTTTGACGTTCTCGTTGTCGTCCGCGTCGTTGGATCTTAAAGTCCCTTGTATTTCTCTTTCGCGTTGCCTTTGTCTGTTCATTCTAGCTCTGTCTCGTTCTACTTGCCGGCGTTTTCACTATAATTTTCTCTCCTTCTTCTCGCTCTGACTCTTTCTACTTGCTTTCTTTTTTTCAAAACCAGTTGCGCGATATAATTGCGCGAGGTTGCGCCATGCGATTTCGCGCCAAAAAAATCTCTAGTTTCCCCTACCCCAAGAGTCCATGCGGACTACTTTCCACTACCCGGAAAGTCCGTACGGACGGACGTACGCTACGTCATAACCAAATTTTCTGGGATGGATAGTTTACCAAATTTTCTTACCCATGGTGCTCCCCTGCGCGCGTGCGAAGCGCGCGCGGGAGCTTCGCTATTAAGTCTCAGAAAATATTCATGCTCCCGCAAAGAGGGTTTTGTTTTTTTTTTTTACCCTAGATATTAAGTTCATATTTTCTTGGGCCTGAAATTTTCTCTTTAAATCGCTTTCCCACCTCTAATTTCCAATGACGGCCTCAGTGTTAGGAGAATGGATACTTTCTGGATCTTTCATTTCCAGTCGCATACTTTTCAAGAAAGCAAAGTAGGATTTGCTAGTCTTGTTCTCAAGGGTTTTCGTTGGGGAGCCCTCACTGTGACTTTGCTGTTCAGTCAATTCCCCCAGTTTTATTAAAATAAACTGTTTCTTCTTCCTGGGTCTTGTGATATATAGAGGTGATTCTATTGTCCCGGGAAAATACCAAGGAGGGCAAGAAAAGTTAAGATCATTTAAGAGCCAATGTCTGTAATTTTCGAGAATCGGTTGACAGTCGTGAATTTTTGAATTTCTTCATATTTTGCCCAAATAATCTCTATAGTACACTTATTTCAAAAATCACAGTAAAACTTGTAACGGCTTTTTATTTTTTCCTGAATCGGGCAAAGTTTGAAAAACGCTAAATCGGCGCTCTTTCGAGTATGAAATTAGCGAAAATTAAGCATTTTCTTGGCGCTCGTACATATAAACGGGATGATATCTCTCAATGAAATCAAGTCACAAAGCAAACACAGACTTGTACTTTATAATTCAGCAGTTATCTTCAGATAAGCTGTTTAAATGTGACTGTGTCGGCCGCAAGAAGAAACACGATTTCGGCTCTTTACAAAAATGGCAAATTTGACCTAACTTCACCATCGAAAAAACCCAATTGGTACATAGAATTTCAACATGAAACAAACACTATTTTAAAGTACATTTTTTGCCGTTTCTTGTGTTAAAAAAGTTTTGGCGGCATTACAAAAGTGCGTCGCTGAGACACCGAAACGTGCAGGGTAGTTTCGCACGTTAGAACGCTGCAACAAACTAGCCGCAAGTGTAAGCATACAAACGTTTTTGCAAACTTAACTTCTTTTACAAGAGGCACATTACGGGAAGCTCTTAAAATCTTTTGAAAAACACTTTTCAATTTGATGGTAATAAAAAAGAACTAAGTAGATTAACCCTGCATTTGATTGCACGCAAGTAGCTGAAAAGGACAGCACTGCTCTGGCTGCTAATTTCGTGTTGAATGTAAATATTGACCTCGAGTTTCTGCACCTAAAATAAAGCCGCTAGAAACGGCTTGCTAGCTCTAAATGAGATACGAGATCTATAAGAATTTATTTACCAGTCGTTTCAACTGCAAGTAGCCGCAGTTTACTGAAATCTTCCGTCGTTTAGCCACGGACTAAACCCTGTGTTGAGTGATGAAAGCCCGTGTGTGATTTGAGTCTTGTCACGCAACTGTACAGACAAGGATAAATCATCGCACGAGTGTTTTTATATCTTATATTCCCCAAAACAGGTCGAACTAAACTTGATTTTAGGATGCACAAGCCGAAACTTAAACAGAGAAAGAAAACAAATAGAGTAGGCCGAGTCTGCAAAACGTTTCACACTAGTTTTCTTTTCATTGCACTTAGCCTTCTGAGCCTTTGGTTTTTATTAACTAATCTTAACCCCGCTTGGCGTATAGACTTCTCTATCGATCACCTCAGTATGAATTGAGGGATTTAGGTACACACGTACGCCATATGCAGCATGAAGGTAGAGCAGCGAAATGGAAACGAGTAAAAAACTGGTTTAAGAAAAATTGTCCAATGCTCCGCAAAAGAACATTCCTGAAAAACCACAAATCGACAATGGACAATGGACACATTTAATGAGCGAAATACAAGTATTTAACATGTTTAAATTACTGAAAGTAGTATTGCTTTGCTCCTCTGCAGCAAGGGTATCTTCTGGCTAGACCTCAACCTGCTGTTGACGATCTGATCTGACCAGAATGCACGTACATGCTAGCTCCCGCCTAAAAAAAGGAATAGTCACCTGGCTCTCTCCGCCACCACCCCCCGGCACTTGTTCGCAGGCTAGAAAATAAACCAATTCACTGACAAGTTCTTTTTCATAACGTCAAAATCCGTCGCCTAAATGAAAAAAATGCTTTAAAATGTCTCAGCCATTTTACTTATCATCTTTTAACCAAATCAGAAAATAGCCTTTCATATCGATTTAAAATTTCAGATGGAGAATGCCCTTTTCGCTAGGTCTGCACCAGCAGAGACCTGTGTGCTGAAACTCCTTCGTGGTGGTATCCCTCAGGCAAAAACGACTGCCTAGCAGCGAAGGGCGAGGGGAGAAGTCCGTGGCCATTTTCGAAAAGAAAAAGAAGTGTAAAGACTACACCTTCGTCGCTCAGAAAACGTCTGCGTATATCATTTTCCTCAGGCCGCGCAGAGTCATTAATTAATGTGCCCTTACGGACCCCTTTTAAAGGAGCAGACAGTAGGCGGTTCTGGAACAGTACAACGTGATTTGTGCTCCGCCACCCGAAACCAAACATTTAGCAGTGGTGAGTAAAAACTTCTATTTTCACGCGCCAATTTTGTGGATCAAACAAAGTCTGCTAGCTTTAAGTGGAGTGATATTGTATGTGTACCAACCCACCTATCTCCTCCTCTTGCCCTAGCTAAACTTAAACAAGCTAAGTAGACTTTTCATGACGTTAGCATAGTCACCTGAGACCTCTTGTAAAGTTCACTAAAATAATAGCAAGCACTTTCGTAGCCTGTTCACAGACCCCCTACTTTTTCTTTAGAGATCGTCGATCTATTTTCTCTTTGATCGTCGATTTTCGCATATGAAAATAAAAACCGCATGGGATTTATTGACTATTAGCACAAGGAGATCTCTCTCGCGCGCTCGCTTCGCTTGCGTGCTCGTCTATTTCGAAACGAAAAAGGAGTGTAAAAGCTGCACCTTCGTCGCTCAGAAAACGTCTGCGTAAATCATTTGCTTCAGGCCATACAGAGTCATCAATCAATGTGCCTTTATGGACCCCTCTATGAGCAGCCAGTAGCCTGATCTAGAACGATACCACGTGATTTGTTGCACCGCCACCCAGAACCAAACATTTAGCGGTGGTGAGGAAAAACTCCTATGTTCATGCGCCAATTTCGTGGATCAAACAAAGGTCACCTAACGTAAATGCAGAAAACCTTACTTCTATCATTAACATACTCACGTGACTAACAAGTCAGGAGCATACCAAGTGATTCACGACATCTTTTCTATGATCGCAATACTACATTCAGCATTACTGGGGCCACAGGCGCCACAAACCAAGTTTGAATATGTGCGAGATGCTATACGAACATACAACAAAGACTTGCACCGTAAAACACGTATACCAGCAATTTCTTTTCCGGCGCGTTACGCGTCACGCACTTCCGGAATGTTATCTTCCCTCGTGTTGACAGAACATACACAAACTTAACTTTGAATCTGCCTTGATGCAGAATTTAGATCAATTTAGTTGGCGGTACTGTGACCCCGTCTAGCATTTAAGTTCAGGTAAGTAAAAAAACTTTTCTGATTTTAAGGTTTCAATAAGATTAAAACTATAACAAGCGAGTATTTTGACAATATTCCTCTCTACGAACTTTGATTTGAACTGCGTATTCGTGTCTCTTCATTATGGTTTATCGCAAAAATCAGTTGAAAGGAATCATGTTAAACCGAACAGAACGCCGAAATATAATCTGAAACCGTTACAACTCTGACTAGGGTTTAAATGTCGAAGTAACTTATGTTTGCAAAGGATTAATATTCCAAGCGTCGAAACTTGCTTGTTGCACGCGCTTTCCTGGTGTCAAAATACCCTTCAGGTTTTGGTCTCTCGACGGTGCGCATTTGGAATGCCGCCAGAAATATTTTAACACAAACAACAGCAAAGGATATGCTTTAATACAGTTTATGTTTCATACTGAAATTGCATGTACCAAGTGGGTTTTTACGATGGTGAAGTTAGATCAAATTTGCCATTTTTGAAAAGTGCTGAAACCGTCTTTCTTCTTGCGGCCGGTACAGTCTCATTTAAACGGTTCATTTAAAGTTAATTGCTGAATTATAAAGTAAAAATGTGTGTCTGTTTTGTGACTTGATTTCATCTGGAGATATTATTCCGTTTTTATGTACGAGCGAGGAGGAAAATGCTCAATTTTCGCAAATTTCATACTCGAAAGAGCGCCGATTTAGAGTTTTTCAAACTTTACCTGATTCCTGAAAAAATAAAAAGCTGTTACAGATTTTAAGGTGATTTTTGAAGTTAGTGTACTATAGAGATTATTTGAGCAAAATATGAAGAAATTCAAAAATTCACGACTGTCAACCGATTCTCGAAAATTACAGACATTGGCCCTTAAGAAGTTATTCGCTGGGAGAGCGCATGTGCCCAGCTACAGCTAAATAACTGTTTCCATTCCAAAAGATAACTTGAAGCGCTTTTAGCCTGTGTACAACCGCCCCCTCCTCGCAAACAAAATTAGACTTCGAGCAGTCTCTCTTGTTCTTCAGGTTTCGTGAGAGGAGTGCACGCGCGCGCGCGCGAGCGTCAAGCCCGTCTCGCGCCTTCAGTCTCGCGCGTGGTCTTTTTACTGTCTTTCGAGTTTCGCTGAATGGACTGAGAAAAAAAGAGAGACTGCTCGTAGTCTAAAGCAAAATCGGCAAGAGAGACGTCTATGTGCGTCGTTAATCAACTTCTGGTTTCCCTGGATTGTCAGGGAAAGCTCTGATTAGCTGTCATGTTGATACCGTGACGTAATCTCCCAGGATATAAACTTTAGCATGTCTCCCCAAGTTTGTTTGAGGGGAGGGGGTGGATATACACAGAGTCTATAAGGGGACACCTCGGGGCTTTATCAGCTGTCCGTCTGCGAGGGTGCACGCAATCTACTACCAACACCTGGACCTGGACCTGTCTTGACTGCTTGGATCAAGTAAAACAGCTACCGTTCGCAGATGTGAGCAATTTTGACACAAGTGGCAGCTCGGTTGATATAAACAAAGAACGCGATACTCAGTTGGACATTTGGTCTTCTTTTGTTGCAATGGCAAACAACATCCAGCTAATACCAAGATTGGGCACATTAACGCAAATAGAATTACTGGCTTTAGATTCTATGAAATTAGAAGTTGGCTAATGTCTGGAAGGTTTGACATACTCCTCATAACAGAGACAAAAATAGATGCTACCTTGAGCAATAGTCAGTTTAATGTGGAAGGATTTCGTATGTATCCTGTCGATAGAAATGCTCATGGTGGTGGGATGATGATCTTCATAAGGAATGACATCTGTTTTCATGTCGTTACACGTTTCAACATAGACATGTCAAGTTTTCGCACCGAATCCATGTTATTGAAAGTCAAAATGAATAAATCTTGGTTTGCTATCGTCGGCATCTACAGACCTCCTAATATCCGAAAAAGCCAGTGGAAACTTGAAGTTAGTGCTACTTTTGAAGCTGTAACAACGATTTCAAAAGACACTATTTTGTTGGGTGATTTGAACTGTGATGTGATGGAACCAAACTGGCATCCTTTGGATTGACGGGATTTATGTGATTTATTGGACATTTATAACCTAAAGAACCTAATCACATCACCAACTAGAACGACAGAAAAAACAACAACAACGTCGACCTCATTCTTACAAACAACAAGAAAAGAATACTATCATCGGGCGTAGTTGGTGTCTAACTCAGTAATCACTCCCTCGTATACACAATTTTAAAACTCTCCGCACCCAGATTTCTATCTCGAAAAATTTGCGTGAGAAGATTTGAAGTTTGACAGCGATGCTTTCCTACAAGATTTGCACAATGCTCCTTTCAATTATAATGGAATTTTTCCATGATGTAAGCAATAAATTATTTGCATTTGAATCGCTGTATTTAGATATTATAAGTGAGCACGCATCTCTAAAGCAATTCCAATAAGTGTTCGCTAGTCCTTAAGCGCCTTCAAGGAAACTGCCCCAGGTACATGTATGACCTTCTTAAATGCAATGCAGATTTACACACGCAGTGGGCGGTACAGTGCCTTAAACCTCGTCTGCCCCAGATATAATCGTGAATCTGAGGGAGGGAGAACTTTTAGCGTGTCCGCGACCAGGCTCTGGAACTCTCTGCCCATTAACTTTAAGAAAGGAACATGTGTAACCTCATTTAGAAAGGCTATTTATAGTCATTTTTAACGAGATACAATGACGTTGATGATTTTAGCTTAAGTGAAACTTAATTTTATTTCTTAGTTTTATGCTAATCCGGCATTTCACAACCTCCCTCTCGCTTTACCCATCCTAGTTGTATTCTTATTGTAATTATAGTTTGTAGATATTCATTGTAAGGATATTTTATATTGTAATATAGTTTTTATTCTTTTTAGTCTTATTCGTAAATATATTTATAATTCTTTTTCTTTAACGATATGTATTTTGTTTGATAATTTTAGTTTGAGGGCCACTAGTTATTCAGTTGAAGTACTGTCCCGTGTTACCCTCGTTAAATAAAGTTGATTATTATTATTATTATTAAGTACCGTTCATGAATGAACAATGGCGCAAAGCCATTCGGCATAGAAACAACCTGTGGAGAAAGTTCACTCACGATCGCACTGATGGTCCGACGCCCTTAACAAAGAAAAAAGGAATAAATGTACTTCGCTGCGACGAAAGGCAGACAAGGCGTACTTTCTCAATTAATCGGAAACAGCAAACTCAAATGATTTTTGGAATGCTTATCGTCCGTTTGTTCAGCCAAAGATAAACTAGAGCTTTTGAATAAACGCATTTTGAGATTTATATTTAAGGATGTAAATTCTAGTTATAACGAGTTGCTAAAGAAGGCTAAGATAACATCTTTGTACAGAGGAAGAAATCACAAAATGCTTATTGCAATGTTTAAAAGCTTGGTTTGTCTCTGCGTATCCTAATTGTGTTAAGGAACTGTTCTCTCTTCGCAGCTCCAAGTATTATTATATTTTAAGAGGGAATAATGCACCAAGCTTACCTGAACCTAGGACAACCACTTATGGACTCGAGTCCATCAAGTTCGAAGCTGAAAAGCTCTGGAACTCAGTTACAGACGACATGAGACTAACAATATCAATCGAAGACTTTAAAAAGTCCTTAATGACCGAGTGCATGGATCTCGCAAAGTGATAGTCACTATTTTGGCATCTGAATGGGGATCAAGTAATGAGGCTTTCCACCGTAAACATAGAATTAGCCATTCAGTTAGCCAAGTTCCCTGAAGTGAAAATCACTTTCTTTTCACCAAAATGTAGTCAAGAGGATAGAAAGATAGCCCTTGAACACAAAGCAAAGATCGTGCAGGCGACGCCTCTGCCGCCTGCCTTTGAACAACTGGATTGGTTTTTCTTTCCGCCGAAAGATTTGCAAATCGTCGTTATCGTAGGTCATGGAGTTAAACTCGGTAAACAAGCACAAGTCATTAAAGACCGTAAAACGTGCAAATGGGTTCAAGTGGTATACACAGGCCCAGAGGAAGTTGGCATGTTTGAAAGGTCAATTTCAAGGGGTGAAGAAAGGCGCAACACCGAAGTAAAACTGTGTGAAATGGCTGATCATGTTGTTGGAGTTGGACCCAAGTTGAACCAGACCTTTCGCTCATATGTTTCTAGTTGTAATAATGATGGTAATGTCTTTAATTGACCTCACCCCTAGAGTATTTAAAGAGTATGAGGCTGTAAAGCAAGTCAGTCATAGCTTTAGGCAACAACACGGAGTCTTGGTGTTTTCGAGACGCAGAAGATTTTGAATTAACGGGATTTAACACCGCTGGGAAAGCAATTGCTGCGTTAGAAGATACTCGTCTTACGTTTGCAGGAGCATCGGATGGAAAACACGAAGAAATGTGTGGTGTTCCTGCGAGGCGATTAAAAGTAAAAGTATTTGTTCAAGACCAAGAGGGTTTAAAGCACTTATTGCAACAAGTGGATCTTGCAGTCATGCCTTCATCAGAGGGCTTTATTTTAACAGGACTCGAGGCAATGTCAGCTGGTCTCCCCGTGCTTGTCAGTCACAACTCTGGTTTTGGAGAAGCACTGAGTAGTGTAGCTTTTGGTTCAGCATTTGTGATCGAGTGAGAGGACCCCGCAACCTTAGCCATCCCGAATATTTGGTCCAAGGACAGGCAATGTCGGCTTGAGGAAGCGGTGACCTTGCGTGATTCCTATGCCAGGAAATACAACTGGGCCAAACAGACAAAGGAGTTCGTTGACAGGATGATCAACCTGGTTGGAATGTCGATTATGTTTTCTTCAATGGTACATTACCAGGAAATGATGGAAAAACAAGACAAACAAAAATGCGATCCCTTTCAAGTTTTGTCTTTAAATCTTGCAAAAAGGCCCACGAATTCCTGTCTGTATGGCTGATATCAGGAAAACTGTAACGTTTTTAATTTCTTTAGGTATATTGTTTTCAGCGGAATGGTCTATGGACTAGGTATGTAGCATGCGTAGCAGTCATTTCTGTCTGCTTTTAACCAAGCGGGAGATGCGCGGGGGGCGCGCGAGAGCGAGAAAACGTTAGGGATGGGGTAGGACTTAGAATACCGGCAGCTGAGCTTCTTTTCCGGGAATACACAACCGGGGAATGGGCCGTACACCTTGAATTGACTGGGTCTTAAGTTTTAAAGAAATTATTGTGAAAATAACCAATCTTTATTTAAGTATCAGAGCAATAAGTAATAATTAAAATTTTAAATTATCTCGTATTGTTTACAAATTGAAAACTAAATATATGTCCTCGATAGAAAACTATTTACAATTGTGAATAATTTAAAAGTGGGAAAAGGAAAATCAAGCATTACTAAAAAAAAAACTATCAAATATCTGGGCCTAAAATTATGAGTGCAGATGTAGACCAGCTTCAGCGAAAGTGAAGTCTTCTGAGACCTCACGTGATTTGAATGGATATCTTAATTGAACCTCTGACGCATCTGTGTACAGTTCTTAATGTAGCAAATGAGAGCTGTATTCGAAGCCAGGAAACAAAGCTGGCGTAGGGTTCATTGTTCTTAGTCGAAAGCTTATTTGCGATTGTTTATTATATGAATCTACTAGTTTGAATTCAAAAAAATTATTATTGTAACCAAAGTTTGCTTACGCAGAGCCTGTTATGGAAAATGACAACAACCCAAGAACAAAGTCTTATGACGACAAGCAGCTTGTTGCTTCAGGAAACCAGACTGAACCATCCACAGTTAAAGTGTCTCAATCACAAAATAGCCGTAAGCGTAAAATGTCAGAACCTTCTTGTGATCCAGGTAAGCAAAAACATGATTTGTTTTTCTTGCTATTGCCCATTAGTACATCTAGGGGGTGTTTGGGGGGTGATTGTTAGAACACTTAAAGGTGGTTTTGTCTACAGGACTTGCTACCGTTTAAGGTGTACCAGTGCAATTTTTCACTCATTGTAATTGTGTACTCAGATTTTAATACCAGATGTTACCTTGGGCTCGCCAAAAACTGCAGATCCGGGGACCGGCTTATACTCACTCAAACGACAACGACTAAAGTAATTTTCTGGCGATATTTCTGGTCTCCTCAATGAAGATTCATCTTTTATCAATGACATTTTCTTTCTTTTCGGACTACCAGGTATTACCAGGTTATTAAGGCCTTAGTTTGCTCCCTGACTATCTGCGAATGTTTGCAGACGTTATTGTTTACATTTTTCTCATTAGCATATGAGTTAACCCATGGAAGGCGACGCCGTGTACATATATACAAACAAGAGAGGATAAAGGGGACAGAGAAGGCATCCCCCATACACACCCTATTCCATAGGTAATTCGTCTCGAGTTATTTTTAACTCCATAGATCCCAAGGGGGATTAGACAACAGCCAATCACATAGCGCGAATGTGTTCCGCGTGGATGACCCAAGCTCAGAGCCACGCGTCCTTCACGAATTGACGTAGAAAAAATGGCGGAAGACGCAGAGAGCGATATTGCTATTTGTTTTGTCGACGAAAACGACTACAGAGAGACTTCTGTTAAAGCTGTGTCAGCGAAACGGAAATTAAAAGAGAATCGCCCTTCCTCTCTTGTATAGAGCTAACAGTACAGCAATGAAATCCTTAACACACTGAATATTCTCTCAGGATCATCTATAATTTACAGTTTGAAGAGAGCAATTTTTGGTTTGATATTTATTCTTTTATTAGTCTTTTATTATTCAACAAAAATCACACTTGGCGTCCTACTTGCTTTATTATACAAACGACCGGTTTCAACAGACCGGCGAAATTTCTCATTTTATTAAAGTACTGAGGTTACGACAACTTCAAGTTAAACTGATTTCACGGTTGTCAAAGAGTCAAGCGATTCCCTTTTCCCAGGTGAGCGCCGACTCATTTCGCTTCAATATTCAGAAATGCTCTCGATCTCTTTACGCTTTCATTGCCTTTCGCCTGACATGTTTTGCACGGCGTTTAGTTATGCGCAACCTCCACGAAACATCCACGCAGCGCGCGAGGTAACTATATTCTAATTCTAAAAATAACTCGAGACGAATTACCTTTGGAACAGGGTGTGTATGAGGGATGCCTTCTCTGTCCTCCTTATTCTCTCTTGATACAAATAAAGTTGAAATGTTCAAAAAGCTCGTAAACTTGAGAAATTGTGCAGTTTTTAATAAAGTTTCAAGTTTCTTTGTTTCCGTGTCATCGACAAGACAATTTTTTTATTTATATTTGTGTGAACCAAATCCATGGGGTTGAAAAGGGTTCATATACTTATTCTAAAATTTGAATGACAATAATTTATTATATTAAAATTTATTTTAACATGCGAACTTGCCTGGAAACAAACAAACAAACAAAATGGTCACATAAATAAGTCATAACTTTAAAAAGGAAAATGGAAGGAAAAAAGATGTGTCAAAGATACCTTAGCAAGAACTTAGGCCCCGTCCACACGTATCCGGATATTTTTGAAAAAAAGGAGAAGGCGAATTGTGGAGTAAAATGGCTAAGAGCAAAAGGCACAAAGCAATCTTTATTGAATATCACGACTTAAATGTCTGTAACATGTACAATGATATCAGCCCAGTAAAGGTGAGGGCACAAAACACGCTAAATGCAATCAGCCCTGTGTACACAAGTCGAAAGATCAAAGTTAAAATCCAAGTGACGGAAGGCAAGCCACCCCTTGTTAATCAACAATGTGTATCATTTTCAGTGTTACCTGTATAATACAGGTTATGTCGGCTACACGTGCCGACACCTTAACCAGCGAATTGAAGAGCACTAGGGAACTGCAATCCGAAACCTCCTCAGGGATCAGCCAATATGTCCCCAAATTAAATTGCGCCAAATTTTAAAACTTGATTTTCTTCCCGTGGGGTACTCCCATATGAAAGGGGCGGGGATGCTCGTCGGAAATTTTGAATTACACCCTAAAGGAGACCAATTTGGGCGTGGCCTAACCTTTTTTGAACCCTAAAAGCGATCATTTTAAACTTTGATTACATGAATCGAGTAAATAAAACGAATTGAAAATATATAATCTTTAATATATCTTCGAGTCCCACCCTAAAAGAGAGACCTGTACGGCTGAATATAATGGTGTTTTGCCCAGAACAACCTAGGCGAGACCAAAATCAGAGATTTACACCCCCAAGCGAGACGACGAGCATCCCCGCCCCTTTCATGTGGGAGCCCCCCCCCCCGGATTGTCTTATTTCTGAAATGCTTTTTATCAAAATTCCAATTCGATCTGGAACGCAAGGACACGTTTAAACCAGTTCATAAGAACTCCTAAGTGCTTTGTGGGTAAACAAATTTGGCAATTTACAATTCACTTTACAAAGAACTGAAACCAATACTAAATTCCATCCACGCAAAATTATTTGTTTAGATCGGTTTTAATTAGTTTTATTATTATTTCTTTTCAATTTTATAAATATTTTATCACTTATTGTTTACATAAATTATTTATCGCATTTTAATGTTAATTGACCACTCCAGAAAATACCATAACATACCATAATGCTCTTTGTTTGTCACCCCAAACTTTTACATAAGCATTGTTTTCAGTTTCTCTTGGGGCCATTTTAACTCCCAAGAGAAACTGAAGACAATGCTTATGCAAATTTTTGGGGTAACAAACAAAGAGCATTATGGTATGTTATGGTATTTTTGGAGTGGTCAATTAACATTAAAATGCGATAAATAATTTATGTAAACAATAAGTGATAAAATATTTATAAAATTGGAGTGGTCAATTGCATTCGTACCTTTTAATACATTTTTAAATTGTTTGTAATATTAATGCTGATTTTTTATTTTTTACTCGCAGGTGAGAATGACCTCGGAGAGGTCGAAACGTCGTGACTTTCTATCGCTAATTTTCATCACAAAATGTAGAAATTTCTAATCAAGAAGTAATAAAACAATTATTAAATTCGGCTTTCGTATAAAGTGAAGATTTATGCTGATCTCTGAGGCTGTTTTCCGCTAAGGCCGAACAATCTCCTCGACCTGCATAATTCTTCATGTCATACTGAGGCTCATTGAATAATTGTCAAATCTTTCAGTCGCCGGATGGGAAAAAAAAAGGAAAAACACATCATTCAAATCGTTGTATTCAAAGGTCGATTCTCGGAAAAAAGTAAGCTTTTTTAAAAAAGCCGAGATGAAACGTACTTCTGACAAACATGCAAAACCCCGACGGAAGCAAACTCGTCATGGAGACGCACTAACAAATATTTTTATGCAAGTAAATGCGTTTTATGCAATGTAGCCGATTTCCAAAACCGTTGCGAATTGTTATCTAACGTCTTCCGTCTCACAGTTCCTTTCTTAATTTCTAGGCGCCATTGTTAAAGTTCTTAAACTTATAATCAGTGCCCCAGATCTAAGCGATGAGCAACAAGAAAACTTGGATGACATTTTAGAAGTTCACGCAAGGAAATATTTGATACACCATAGTCCTTTAACACGTGAGGGTTTAAGTGCCTTTTTTGACCATCTTGTGGAGGTTCACAATGTGTCTGTGAAGTCTGTGCAAAAGGGGTCTTTGATATTAACAGTAGAGTGCCCCACTCTAGAGAGTCTTGAGAGACTATGGAATGACTATCAATCGGGTTGCCTTAATGATATCGCTGAAAGTTACTTGGTGACTGATGAACTGAAGAGAAAGCTTGGGTTGGACCATGTCAGATTGAGGATAACTATAGAAGAAGAAAACTACTTGATTTGTCAGAAAGCTCTTATGCAAACCTCAGGTGAGCTGGGCAGTCACTATAGAGCATTTTTGGCGAACATGTATTTTGACTTAATATGTACCTAGCAGTGGGGAATCCAGACTTTCAGATGAGGTGGGGGGGGGCGTCGTCCTCATTTCCGTCTAAAAATAAGGGGGGTGGCCCCCCGGGTCCCTCCCCTGGATCCGACACTGCCTAGGAGCAATTTGCCTGTATCGTTTTCAGTATTATTTTAAAGCAAACCTAATGAATAGTCGGCGGTTCAAATTGTTTGTCAAAACGTTTTTCATGCTTTATAGAGAACTGGGTGCCATAATCCCGCTAAATGTTAGCTCTTTGGCCGGAATGTCCCACAAGATGTTTTTTACCACCTAATCATGAAATGATAAAGGGGGCATTCTAGACTAATGGAGGTCAACAGCATTAGACGAATGCACCTCCTACATGTAAGTTAAAAGGATTAGGATTGCTGTGTAGGATACTTCTTCTTGCCTCTTCTTTACCACTCATGTTCTTGTTCCTCTTTCATCTGACTGGGCTGCACAGCTTACGAGGTTTACCGACGAAATAGTCTTTCTTCCCATATCTACAGCTCTTTCGTTTTTGTTCTACTGAATAGAAAGTAGAAATTTCAACGTTAAGTATAGCGGCACTGTTCGATATCAATTTTATATCCCATTTATGTAGAAGACAGCAAAATCGCGCCGGAAGTTAAGTTCGCATGTATTGCTTATAATTGGCAGTTTTACAGAAAAGTCCCGTATGTAAAAAGTTAGAAAGGCTGTTGTTGGAAAAAGTAAAGTTTGTGGTGATTTGTTTCGCATTTTGTTGAACAGATTTTTACGGATTTTAAAGCGGAATCATAAAAAGCCGTATTGTTGAAAAAAAAACTTTCGACACGTATTTTTAACAAACACTAAAGCTTTCCCCGAGGGTACCCGGCCCGCTAAAAACAAGTTGTACAGGCCGTTA